TCTCTCTCTCTCTCTCTCTCTCTCTCTCTCTCTCTCTCTCAGTTTTGGAGTTCTACTTTCTATTATTATCAGATCAATAATAGACCAGTTGCCCACTCTGGTTTCTTAATTGACATGCAGCGACAGCTGCTTGTAAAAACCACCTTATCCATGCAGGCTTTACGTGATTTGTTTGGAGACCAATTCTGCTTGTGAAGACAAGGAAAACTTTGTTTGGAGACCAGTTCTGATTTGGATTTGGTCTCACCAAATCTTCAAACTTCTGCACCTCAAGCTGTATCTGCTCCGAGAAAACAAACAAGAAGATAGAACCATATGCATCCAAGAAATATGTACCTTCTAATTTGTGGAAGAGGCATCTGAGACATGGGTACCTATCCAGTTATATACTGTTGGTGTGAGATTTATTTGGTGTTCAACCTCATGCATCAAGGTTGATCCAACTTTCTCCGATTTTTCGAATCTTATCAAGTGTAACTAGTTCGAATTCTAATAAAACTAAGATCCTTCTGTCGTTCAAGTTAGTATCACATGAAAATAGAAAGATCAGAAAAATCTGAAGTCCACATTATATTTGGAGAAATCATTATCTAGTCTCTGAGAATATTGATCCTATCACACAGCATTTACCAGTGATTGTTCTAACCATTAATATATTTAGCTTGGGGTTTTCTTGGGGATCCTATGGTTAAGTCCTCAGGTCCCTCATGCCACTGCCTTCTTTGCTTTTGGGCAGAGGTCATCATCAATCACCAGATAATTAAAGCTAAAAAAGATGGCCGGTCAGTGTAAGATAAAAGAAGGCATCTTTGATCATGCAATCTATTAATAGATCATCTATTTGATTGGAGGCTTGTCATCTCCAACTTTGTCTAGAATAGCTCTTCGTTACTACTCAAACTAGCTTAAGCATCATCTATTTGATTGGAGGAAAAAGAAAGCATGAATGTTTGCATTCTGAATTGATGGATCACAAGAATTAAGACAAAAGAATGTTCTTCATCAATAATCCTTTCAAGAACCAATAAATTAAGTCACACTAATTCTTTAAATTTCAACTACATCTAATCATCTTATCGGAGTATTACAAATCTCCCGAGCTATAGGTAATTATAAAGATATGTAACATTATATTATTTTTCATACTCGACAACATATCATATCAATATTTTGATGACCCCAAATGATATAGAACAGATGGGACACAGGAATATAATAAAGCTTGTATATTATTTGAGGTCGTTTTGGCATGATGTGAATGATGTCCTACCGAGTGAAACGATGGCACATAATTGAATGAGATTATCAAATAATAAGATGATCACTTGAGTTAAAGTGGGAAATATCAATTTCGTCACAATCTCAATTGCATCCATACATTATTTTCTTGCACCTATCTATGCTCTTGAAGCACAAATTGAGGATGTGAAGCAAAGACTAAACTAACACTCTCATCAACACACTAACATCCCAACATGTTGAATTGATGTTAAATGAATGAGCTAAGGAGAATTCATTTTGCACATTGTGTTTATACTCTCTAATATAATTTTGCAACTTTTTTATGAATTTTTATTTATTTATTTGAGTAAAAACATGACATGCAACTTGATATGGGTACTTCAATAATCTTTTCAATCAATTAATTTTTGTTCTAATTTTTCTATACAATTTTCCTTATCAATTAACATGTATATATATATATATATATATATATATATATATATATATATATATATATATATATATATATATATATATATAATGCAACCAGGGGAACATGCTCAACTCGGTGACTCGGTCCGTTACTGAAGCCAACTCGGAATCCTTCCCCGGGCCACGCCGAGTCGGGATTCACCGAGTCGCAACGCAACTCACCACTATACAAAGCGTTTCTTCACGATCGTGTACTCTCAGCCCCCTTTGAAACCCTCTACCGCTCCTCTTTCCTTTCTTAGATCAGGTCTTTTCTGCCGCTTCTTGGGTGGAGTCGCTCGACAACCGGAGCCCTAATCTTGGTGAAAGGACTGCAGAATCCTTCATGGTCATATGATATTTTCGTTTCTGTCTTATGAGTAGAGGATTGCTGATTAAGATTCCTCTGTTACTAAATTTTTCGTATAGTTTGTTGTTTGCTCGTATAGTTGTAATAGTCTCGGAGATGTTAGCAACTTTGTCTCTTTACTAGACTTCGATCATGATAAAGCTGTTGTTAGGAAGGTGCCCAAAATATCTGTAAGCTTTGATATCCCCTCTTCCAAATGTCTCCAATCATGATGTGTGAATGAAACCTAAATGCTTAATACAAGTCCAAATGAGTAACGAGCACCACACAAATGCATGATTCAAATTCATATATACATTTCTTTTTTTTTTTGCAAAGGGGATAAGTGGCGAAGGGGATTTGAGCCCCGAACCTTCCGATAAATGGTTAGAGTCTTTACCCGCTAGGTTAGCTAACACCTTCCTGCAACAGTAGAAATATATCGGATGAGATTTGAAACCTTTAACCTTTGGTAAATGGGTTTGGTACACTGCCACCAGGCCAATGTTTAAGGTATTCAAATTCATAACTTGCTTTGATATTACGATAAGTGTATTTTCTAAGTACCAAATGCTTAAGTTGTTAGGCAAGTGCTCAATATATTTAGAAGTTTTAATGGATTAAATATTGGTAATTAAGATTCCAATGGTACTGAGTTATTATATGTGTAGTTTCTTCATTTGCTCATATAGTTTTGAGACAGATCAGAAGGCTTACCTGTACAATTGAAAGGAAAGAGAGACCAAAAAAAGGAGAAAATGGAAGGGGGAAAGAAAGGTGATCATTTTTTCCGGATCAGTTGGTCAGTAGGATCAAAGATGAAAGTATTGCTTGCAAGGCTGTGGCATGGGCTTTCTTGTCTGTGACTTGCTGACTTGTAGGTAACATGTCATGACATGTCTGAGAATAGAATCTCACTGTGGCATGCCTTTATTGAACGCTTGTTGAGCTACACACCTATTGTTTGGGTTCTGTCTCCATTTTGGCCTTTGGTATTTACTTTGAGCCTTCCTTTAGATTTATAGTCTCAGATTTATCTTCTATGACAATATTGTCATATGCAAAAGTTAATTCTGTTGAGAAGGAAAGAAAGAGGTAGGTCAAATGTGAAGTTGACTATGAGGAAATATATACTTACTTCCACATATTAACAATGAGTTAATGCATTTTGCATAGTTGCATCTCTTTGATGGATTTATTAATAGTAAGTTCCTAAGCTCATCTCTAGTTAGACTCTTTGGATGGTGATATTTGTATTTCTTGGGGTGTCATTGAGGTCAAGCAGGTGTCATTGAGGTCAAGCAGAAAGCAGTAGGGTTCCTTTAGGAAGATAAATATATTGTATGTCCCTTCCATGATTTACCATAAAGAGCACATTTTGCCTGTTCGTATGGCCTATTACCTAATTGTTTTTTCTCCAAGTATTTGGCTCAAAATGCATTGTCAGAGCTACATACACAATGCTGCTCATTGCTGAACTTGCCTGCCTTTGAACTGCTTAAAATGCAAGATGTGCTTTGCTTTGCATAGATTTGCCTCATCTGTTGTTGCAGAACACTTTGCTTACAGGAGTCCGTATTACATTCCTGAGAAATGTTCTATTTACTGAGTTAAATTCGGAAAGAAAAAGGAAGAAACAATGTGAAGGGAAGAAGAAACAGATGAAGCTTCTGGGTAAGAACAAGTCTCATCCATAATTGCCTTCTGCAATCAGTTTTAAGTGACTGGTCACCAAATTAGGTTGGCTTTTACATTCTAAATGAATTGAAATGTTGTGATAGAGAGAGACAGAGAGAGAGAGAGAGAAAGAGAGAGATGGTCCAACAGCTCTTGGCCGACAGACCCATCATGGCCGGCGGTGGCGAGCAGAGCTGTGCCTGCTTTGTCGGCCTGCAAAGCCAAGCGAGAAGGTATCCCCACAGGTTGATGCAGACACCACAGAATAAAATGCCACCGTCTTCATCCATGCATATCAGTATCCACTTCTATATTATTTGCTGGTCTGGATGTTGAGTCAAGCGCATGCATGTACTAAATTTCATGCATGTTTTCCCAGGTCAATCATGCATCTGCATTCTTTCATTTCTTTATAGGCATCACTTTATATCACCATGTTATCAATGAGAAGAATGAGGTTGATAAGATAAGAACATCCTATACCATAATCCTTATTATTCCCTGTATGATTAATAGTACAGGAGGCAGCATGATGATACCAATACATGAAAAGAAGGAACAATGGATTGTAGACAGAGAAAAAAAGAGAAGACATGTGATGCATGTTTTCAACGAGAAGAACGAGGTTGTCAAGAGAGATATAATGCTTACTACCCATTATTACTTATAAATTAATAACATGT